GGTTGACTGCGGTGCCAGGCTAGGTGCACGAGGTCACGGAACAGTCACAGGCGCCGTGGGGTGACTGCGGTGCCAGGCTAGGTGCACGAGGAAGTCACGGAACGGTCACAGGCGCCATGGTTGACTGCGGTGCCAGGCTAGGTGCACGAGGAGGTCACTGGGGACAGACCGAGGTGCCGTGGGGTGACTGCGGTGCCAGGCTAGGTGCAGGAGGAGGTCACGGAACGGGGCCCCGGGCGCCGTGGGTGACTGCGGTGCCAGGCTAGGTGCAGGAGGAGGTCACTGGGGACAGACCGAGCGGCGTGGGATGACTGCGGTGCCAGGCTAGGTGCACGAGGAGGTCACGGAACGGACCGGGCTGCCGTGGGGTGACTGCGGTGCCAGGCTAGGTGCACGAGGAGGTCACGGAACGGACCGGGCTGCCGTGGGGTGACTGCGGTGCCAGGCTAGGTGCACGAGGAAGTCACGGGACAGACCCAGGCGCCGTGGGTTGACTGTGGTGTCAGGCTAGGTGCACGAGGAAGTCACGGGACGGACCGAGGCGCCATGAGTTGACTGTGGTGCCAGGCTAGGTGCACGAGGATGTCACGGAATGGACCGAGGCGGCGTGGGTTGACTGCGGTGCCAGGCTAGGTGCACGAGGTCACGGAACGGACCGAGGCGCCATGGGTTGACTGCGGTGCCAGGCTAGGTGCAGGAGGAGGTCACGGAACCGACGCAGGCGCCGTGGGGTGACTGCGGTGCCAGGCTAGGTGCAGGAGGAGGTCACTGGGGATAGACTCCCCTGCTAGCAGAGATCCTTCGACACTTCACGGTGACGTCACCGCCACTTAGCGGCGGTTGTTGTTGTTGTGCCGCTTGAAAAGCTACGAAATATAAATATGTATAAATATATAACAGCAGGCGACGTTCCTGGCAAGGTCCCTCCTTCCTCCATAGCGCGTGAGAGAGGGGCCCCGAGTGAAGGCGTGGACGCTAAACTCCGAGTCGCAGGCCGCACCTACGATCAGCACGCTTGGCTACGTACGGTGCGAAAGAAGTTCAACGTACACCGCGTTGGGCCTGATGGATCGTACAGTACAGCTGCCACCCCCACCCCCCCCTCCAGTGCCGGATTATATCCTAGTAGCACAAGTAGCTACATAATGCTACGGGGCCCCCGCACTTTCAAGGGCCCCGTGCTAAATGCTTTCAAGATATCAATTCCGGTTCGGTGATTCTGCACTTGCTCTATTACTATAGTACTATACCGCCTTCAACTTTTACGAACGACTCGGTGTGTAAGGTTAGCGATTTGTCGTATTATCTAGCTGTATAGCAAATGAAAAAATACAATTACTTTACTGTGCAAGTTAAACATTCATGTTTTTTTTAATTAGTGTTGTATTTTATGTAGGACCCCTTTATAACAACATATGCACTAGCTTAGGCACTGCCCCCCTCCCCCACCCCCTGCCAAACCGGAGGTCCACCGGTTCGATTCAACCTCCAGGCGCGGCAGCCGAAACGACGGCACGGGATTCCTAAAATCTTCAAATCCTCACCCCTCCACCCCCGCCTCCCACCGGCAGGTCGCGTGCGCCGTGGGGTAAAGTGTGGGCACAGCGCTGCCGTGGAAGAGTAGGCCAATGCCCTCTCTCGAGAGAGGCCTCTGCGAGGGCTCCGTCGAGTGTTTGGCCGCTTCCGACGGCAGTGGAGCGAGCCGGAAATTGCACGGCTGTGCCTTGACCTACTTAACAACTACCCATCCACATTAATTCTAGATTTGAAGCTTTCGTGATTGCAATGATTCATATTCTTAGGTTTTTTCGGTAAAGTCACGTAGGTAAAAACATTAAAAAGTAAAATAAAATAAAAATCACGACGTTTCGGAGGCAACACAAGCTTCCGTCTTCAGGTGGAACCGTCACAGCCACGACAGTTGTATCAAGTAAATGAGAGATCACAAGAAATACCACCCCGTATATATATTTCTTGTGATCTCTCATTTACTTGATACAGCTGTCGTGGCTGTGACGGTACCACCTGAAGACGGAAGCTTGTGTTGCCCCCCGAAACGTCGTGATTTTTATTTTATTTTACTTTTTAATGTTTTTACCTACGTGAATTTACCGAAAAACCTAAGAATACCCATCCACATCCCCAAAAAACAAAGACAAAGATCCCCCGTGTAGGCTCAACAGACTGCCGGGTCCAAGTGCTGTTCGCGAGCAGCGCCTATTAAGACCGGCACGGCACACGAGGGCGTGGGGTAGCCAGCACCGCGCCCGGCCGCCTTTGTCTCCCTCGTGGTGATCTTTATTCATCGCACCAGGTACTCATTTAAGGCTAAGTTGACCTAGGGGAGGCCCAACACCTGACCAAATATACGCCACCTTTATTATTGTTTGTGAGCGGTAATCGAACTCGGGTCGTCGGGTTCACAGCGCACTAACCCCTACACTACCGCTCCCCACACACACACACCAATACCTACCACTGCACCTGTGCCAGGCCAGGTGCACTAAGAATCTAGTACTCAGGAGGTTACGGGACAAGACCCCAGGTGCCATGGGTGGACTGTCAACCCACACACACACACACGCACATCCACACACAAAGGCAAAGATCCCCTGTATAGCCTGAAACAGACTGTTGGGGAAAGTGCTATGAGCGAGCACCTATGAAGGCCGCCACGGCACACGAGGGGTTGGTGGCTAACAGCACGCCCGGCCGCCTTTGTCTCCCCAGTGGTAATGTTAACACACCACACGAGGTACTCCACACACATGCGCACAACCACGCACATCCACACATCCACACACATCCACAGACACACACATCCACACACACACATCCACACACACACGCGCACATCCACACACACACATCTACACACACACATCTACACACACACATCCACACACACGCACATCCACACACACATCCACACACTCACACACATCCACACACACACACATCCACACACACACATCCACACACACATACACACACACACATCCACACACACACACATCCACACACACATCCACACACACATCCACACACACACATCCACACACACACACATCCACACACACATCCACACACACACACATACACACACATCCACACACACACATCTACACACACACACATCCACACACACACACGCGCCCACAACAAACAAGCCATGACGCAATCGTTCGGAATCACTGGGAGGGCACCGAAGCCGTCATCCTTGGCACCACCCGTGACTCGCTTTGCATCCCACACGGTGAAGTGGAAACTCCGCTCACGGACGGCAACAAAAGGTGATCCCCGGGAATTAGTCTCAGCCGGTCATCCCTGGGGCCTGGATTGGCGACTCTCAGAACAGATATCCACACACGCGCACACGGTACGCGCCACAAAGACAAAGATCGCCCGTATAGCCTGAACAGGCCGTTGGGGCAAGTGCTGTTAGCGAGCACGGCACACGAGCGGGCGGCCAACAACCAGGCCCCGGCCGCCTTTGTCTCCCCAGTGGCGATGTTTACCACACACCGCACCAGGTACTCATTTGAGGCTGAGTCGACCCAGGGGAGGCCCACGACCGGTCAAGTTAATCGTCAGCTGTGTTGGCCGTGAGCTGGAATGGAACTCGGCTCGCTAACCGCTGCACCACCGCTCTCCACACACTCCCCAACACTCTGCACCACTGCCCCACGTGGACACCTCCACCTGCACCACCACCCACGTGACACCTCCACCTGCACCACCGCCCCACGCGACACCTCCACCTGCACCACCACCCCACGTGACACCTCCACCTGCACCACCGCCCCACGTGAAACCTCCACCTGCACCACCGCTCCACGTGACACCTCCACCTGCACCACCGCCCCACGTGACACCTCCACCTGCACCACCGCCCCACGTAACACCTCCACCTGCACCACCGCTCCCCCCTAACACCTCCACCTGCACCACCGCCCCCCATAACACCTCCACCTGCACCACCGCCCCACGTGACACCTGCACCACCGCCCACGTAACACCTCCACCTGCACCACCGCTCCCCTAACACCTCCACCACCGCTCCCCATGACACCTCCACCTGCACCACCCGCTCCCCCTAACACCTCCACCACCGCCCCCCGTAACACCTCCACCTGCACCACCGCCCCACGTGACACCTGCACCTGCACCACCACCCCACGTGACACCTGCACCACCGCCCACGTGACACCTCCACTTGCACCTGCACCACCGCCCACCGTAACACCTCCACCTGCACACACCGCCCCACGTGACACCTCCACCTGCACCACCGCCCACCGTAACACCTCCACCTGCACCACCGCTCCCCCTAACACCTCCACCTGCACCACCACTCCCCCTAACACCTCCACCTGCACCACCGCCCCACGTGACACCTGCACCTGCACCACCGCTCCCCCTAAACACCTCCACCTACACCACCGCTCCCCCTAACACCTCCACCTACACCACCGCCCCCCGTGACACCTCCACCTGCACCACCGCCCCCCCTAACACCTCCACCTGCACCACCGCCCCACGTGACACCTGCACCTGCACCACCGCCCACGTAACACCTACACCTACACCACCGCTCCCCATGACACCTACACCTGCACCATAACTCCCCCTAACACCTCCACCTGCACCACCGCCCCACGTGACACCTCCACCTGCACCACCACCCCACGTAACACCTCCACACCACCCCACGTAACACCTTCACACCACCCCACGTAACACCTCCACCTCCTCTCACTGTGGGCTGTGCCACCTCCTCCGGTCTATCAACGACCGGCCCGCAAATCATTCAGTGAGTGCATGAAGCCACGTGTCATCGTCTCCATCACCATCGTCGTCACCGCCACCACCGTCAACAGCGGCGTCACGCCGGGACGTGGCCTTAACTAAAACAAATATGAAACGCGCGATCGATGAATTTTTTGTTGTTGTTGTAACGTAATCTATTCCGCAAGCGGGGAAAGTCTCTGCGCACTCACCGCGTGACGCTTCGCGCTCGGGTAGCTGTGCCTCCCTCTCCTCCGCGGCGCGTCAAAGTGCCCGGCCATGGAGCGGGCGACGCCGGTGTCATCGACGACGATGATGCGAGGGAGGAGGAGGATGACGACGACGATGACGAGGAGGAGGACGGAGGGAGGTAGCGCCGCTCGCGACACCGAGGAACGCGTCGTGAAGTTTTTAAAAAAAAATTTAAGAAAATAAAAAAAACCTCGCCGGCAAACGTCGACGGGGAGCCAATCGTGGCGGGGTTAAAGGGATCAGCGATGACGGACGACGCTCGGGCGGCGTGAAGGGGGCTCGTGAAGGGGGCTCGTGAAGGGGGCTTGTGAAGGGGCTTCGCTGCCCGCCCGCCTGCGAAGACGCTGCGCTAACGTCGCACGAAACGCGGAACATTGCGCCCGTTGCCCATGGCGAAGTGTGACGTCTCGTGGCGGCGGTGGAGGAGAGGGAGAGAGAGAGGGACAGGGAGAGCGTGAGAGGGAGGGAGAGAGAGAGAATGAGAGAGTGCGTGAGAGGGAGGGAGGGAGAGAGACAGGGAGTGCGTGAGAGGGAGGGGGGGCGAGGGAGAGAGTGCGTGAGAAGGAGGGAGAGAGAGAATGAGAGAGAGAGCGTGAGAGGGAGGGAGAGAATGAGAGAGAGAGAATGAGAGGAAGGGAGGGAGAGATTGAGAGTGCGTGAGAGAGAGGGGGGGAGAGAGAGAATGAGAGGAAGGGAGGGAGAGATTGAGAGTGCGTGAGAGAGAGGGAGGGCGTGAAAGAGCAGAGCGTGAAATCTATCATTTAAAAAGGGGGTTTACATAAAGCAAAGCATTTTAAAAAACCGAAATGATGAACGAAGCAAAGTGCCGACTACACCGAGCATCTTCTTGTTTCCTCTGATCGTAAAGAAGAGAGAGAGGCAGAGAGAGGGAGGGAGGAGTGTGTGAGAGAGGGAGGGAGCGAGGGAGAGAGTGCGGGGTATTGACGGCTGTTTAAATGCTACTCCTCCCCGGCTTCAGACGCACGCACGCACACACACGCATGCACACACACACATACACACGCACGCACACACACACACGCACGCGCACGCACGTACACACACGCACACGCACGCATGCATGCACACGCACGCACACGTACACACACACACGCGAACGTACACACGCACGTACACACACGCACGCATGCACACACACGCACGCACACACACGCACGTACAAACACGCGCGCACACGTACACATGCACACAGACGCACGTACACACACGCACGTACACACGCACGCGCGCACATGCACGCACTTACACGCACACGCGCGCACACACACGCACACACACGCACGCACACGCACGCACACACACGCAGTACAAACACGCGCGCACACGTACACATGCACACAGACGCACGTACACCCACACGCGCGCACACACACGCACACACACGCACGTACATGTACGCACGCACACGCACGAGCGTACACACGCACACACACGCACGCGCACACACACGCACGTACACACACACGCACACACACGCACGTACACACACACGCGCGCACACACACGCACACACACGCACGCACATGTACGCACGCACACGCACGAGCGTACACACGCACGCACACGCACACGCGCGCGCTTGGAATCGCCCGAGCGAGTCCAGCCACTGAGGGTCACGTGGAGCTACAACCTTGCCACCTGTAAGTCTCCTGCGTTTGGGGTCGCGTCCCCCCCCCCCCCCCCCTTTCAAGGGATTACAAAATATTTGTTATATTCTTAGGTTTTTTCGGTAAAGTCACGTAGGTAAAACATTAAAATTAATAAAAGTAAAATAAAATAAAAATCACGACGTTTCGGAGGCAACACAAGCTTCCGTCTTCAGGTGGAACCGTCACATCCCGACAGCTGTATCAAGTAAATGAGATATGGTAGCTCCTGCAATCTCTCATTTACTTGATACAGCTGTCGGGATGTGACGGTTCCACCTGAAGACGGAAGCTTGTGTTGTCTCCGAAACGTCGTGATTTAAATTTTATTTTACTTTTATTAATTTTTATGTTTTACCTACGTGACTTTACCGAAAAAACCTAAGAATATGAATCCTTGCAGTCACGAAAGTTTCAAATCTAGACATTTCTTTGTTTGTCGATTGTTGTTGTTGTTGACAGCGGAAGTTTGCGACCGTGACTTTTTTTGTTCCGTTCCTCCGAAGATCGCGGCTCTCGCAAGCGGCGGTGGCCGGGAGAGAGAAATTGGATGTGAAGTGAAATCTGACCCTGCCAACTTCTGTGGGCCGTGGCATCTGCACAGCAGCGCTCTCATCTCGCCCGGGGTCAACTTCCAGGGGTCAGGGTCGCTGAGCCGGCACCGATGAATCCGCGTTGCGGAGTGCGTCGATTTCGACGGCTTCAGCTGTCGCTTATTAGATATATGCACACACACAGGGGCGCTTCAAACGCTCAAGAATGTGAACGCTTCTGAGAATTTGCAACGACGCCGCGAGCAATGCGCTGCCCCGGGCTCTGGAGACCACCTGGAGGAGATGCCAGGGCGCGCGTGGTGACAACGATGGTGAACAAGTGGGAGACTCTTTGACTTTCCGAAGCTATAAAGATGACTTTTAGATTTGAAGCTTTCGTGACTGCAAGGATTCATACTATTAGGTTTTTAGGTAAAGTCTTGTAGCCCCGCTCACCACCCCCACGTTCCATTCCCTGGTTACCACATTCAAATAAGCCCCTCCCCCCTTAACTTGTATTTAAGGGCTGGTCTTTTGGAATTTTCCTCACTTGATGCAGTAATTTTAGCTGTGACGGTCCCACCTGATGACGGAGACTTGTGTTGCCTCCGAAACGTCGTGATTTATTATTTTATTTTCAGTATTACTTTTATTAACTTTTAATTTTATTTTTTACCTACGTGACTTTACCGAAACAACCTAAGAGTATAAACATGACATTTGTTATCATGTTGCGGTGTAGTATTATCCGTTATTTTTTCCATTAAAAACGATAGTAATCCCATAGAAGTGTTAAAAACATCTTTAAGCACTCTGTATATAAATATTCTGATGACTCGCACGGAGACCCGTAAAGGATCACAAAGTGATGCACATGATCTAAAGAGAGATTCGTAAGAGAAGCCATAGACACAAAGACAAAGATAACCCGTATAACCTTAACAGACTGTTGGGGCAAGTGCTGTTAGCGAGCAGCACCTATGAAGGCCGGCACGGCACACGAGGGGGAGGGGGTGGCCAGCAACTACGCCCGGCCGCCTTTGTCACCCTAGTGGCGATGTTTACACACCGCAGCGGGTACTCATTTTGAGGCTGAGTCGATCTAGTGTTGCCACAGGCCCGGTCCAGACAATCGTCACTGGTGTTGGCCATGAGCGGGAATCGAACTCGGGTCGCCGTTTTCGTAAGCGCAGAGCGATGACCACTACACCACCGCTCCCGGCCACAGACACACACACTCACACGCGGACCCGTAGACTCGTATAATTACGTGGACTGAGTTAACGATTAAACGGGGTTTTAATTTGTGCCGAGTTAAATGGTCTCAGCCCCTGCTCACTAATGGCTTACCTTGAGACTGGTAGATATATGGGCAGATACATATACTGGGGGAGAATGCGTTGTAAAAATTTACACAAAGTACCTTTTACCTGGAGGTCATAAGACGCTCTACAAAACAAAGACAAAGATCCCCCGTAGAGCCTTTGCAGACTGTTGGGGCAAGTGCGGTTAGCGAGCAGCACCTATGAAGGCACACGAGGGAGGTGGGTGGTCAGCACCACGCCCGGCCGCCTTTGTCTCCCCAGTGGCGATGTTTACTGCACACCTCGCCAGGTACTCATTTGAGGCCTAATCAACCTAGGGTAGGCCCAGGACCGGTTCAGATGTTCGACACTCAAGTTGGTGGCCGTGAGCGGGAATCGAACTCGGGTCGTCGGGGTCGTGGTGCAGCACGCTAACCGCTACACCACCGCTCCCCACGCTGTACAAAGCAGACGCACACACACACACACGCGCAGGCTCACGCCAATACAGCCCAACCCCAAAACTAAGGATTCAAGAAATGTAGAACAGCTCTTAAGCATAAGTTGCGTCTTAAGGCGCGATTTTAGTCAAACGAGGTGGGGGTGGCAGGGGGTTTCCCGCACCTTCGATTAGCACGGCTGACTATGTACGGTGCGAAAAAAGTTCAACATACACACCTAGACTCACAGAGAGACCCATAGACTCACACAGAGACCCATAGACTCACACAGAGACCCATAGACTCACAGAGAGACCCATAGACTCACAAAGAGACCCATACTCACACACAGACCAATAGACTCACACACAGACCCATAGACTCACACAGAGACCATAGACTCACACAGAGACCCATAGACTCACACAGAGACTCACAGACTCACACAGAGACCCACAGACTCACACAAAGACCCACAGACTCACACACAGATCCATAGACTCACACAGAGACCCATAGACTCACACAGAGACCCATAGACTCACAAAGAGACCATAGACTCACAGAGAGACACACTCACACAGAGACCCATAGTTTGTTGCCTTTCTCTCGCACCTCCGATTAGCGCGGTTGGCTACATACGGTGTGAAAGAAGTTCAACGTACATACAAAAAGTATGGATTCCTGCAGTCACGAAAGCTTCATATCCAGTACGTACACAACGCAGTCAGCAGGGCTAACGCTCGGCGAGAAGTGAATCACGCAGTCGCGCGTCCTACAGAATAGGCTACGGGGGGTGTCGATTCATGTTTTGTAAATCAAACGGGAAGCTCACGGACCGCGCGTAGGAGCGGGGATTCCTGGGCATGACCTCGCCGCTCTCCGTTGAGTCGCCGCCCGGCCGCTTGCAGCGGAGAAGCAGCAAAAGCCGAAGTGAAATTCTTTGCTCGAGTGATTTTTTATTATGTTCATCGGCTCGAGTTAAATAAACGATGGGGAAGTAGCGGACGCCCCCCCCCACCCCCATCGCACAGCGCCGCACCTGTGTGGGAACTCCAACTCAGCCGCCGGCAGGTGCGGGGGCGAGGAGAGGAGGGGGGGAGCGTGACCGGCCGCATTCTCGAATCCCCGGCAGATGCGCGCGTGACACACGCGCGTGACACACGCGCGTGCGCACGCGCATGACGGCGTGCGTCACGTGCGTGAGCAACAATGCAAACACGTGGAGGCGGCGCGTGGATGTCGATTGCGCAACGCGCGCCGTCGTGATGATCCGCCCGCGACCTCTGGACCGTGAACTTGGGCAACGCTCGCGCGGGCCAGAGGGCGGGTCCCTCGCCGCTGGCAGCCAGGACGTGCGGCGGACGGACGGACGGGCGGATTCGGGAAATTTCACATTTCCTTTGGCAAGAAATCTGTCGGCGCAAGAGCTACTTTCCTTTTCGAAGTAATATTAGTAAAAAAAAAAGTCAACAAAAAACGGTCGTGCGTTCGAACGAGAAATCTGTTGCT